GGCGTTCCCATGCGGGCGTGGCGCATGGCTCGGTCGCCGACTCGCACGACAGCAAACAGGGGCAGCGGGGCCGCGCGATAGCGGGCGGAATGCCGACCTCGCCCACACGCCGCACAGCTTGCGAGTGGAACTGGCAATGCCGTTCCAGCGCGGCGCATGCTTCGTCCTCGCCGCGCCCATCGGAAATGTTGCCGCTCACGCCCCTGCGCGGACCGCGGAATGTTCTCCGCCAGGCCGTCGGAAGTGGGACCGCGCGCGAGCGCCTTCCGTTTGCGAGGCGGGGTCACGTTCCAGTCCCAACCTCCGGCTGTGCCGACATTGAGCCTCACGCTGAGTGGGGGAGGGTGAAAGTGGGAGGTGCCCTCTGGCTCGCCCGCTCCGGTCAACTTCGTTCCCGCTCCCATCCCTGATCCTGATGAGAGAACTCGCCCGCTCTGCTTTGGACGCCCGAAATGGGCACGGAAAAAATGGGTAGCATGCCCAACAACAAATGTCGTCCCAAACCAACAGCGGCCGCTGTTGGCCAGGCGGCCTTCCGTCTCGAATGGACACAGGCCACGGCGGCGTGGACAACGAGTCCTGATCGAAATGAACAGGACCTGCTGTTGGGCACTGTACCCATTCTCTCCGTACCCATCTCGTTCGTGCCGATCTGCCGCCCGACCAGCCGACAGCCGCCCGGCCCCCGGGCAAGGGGGCCTCCCGCGGGGGGGGAGGGGGAGGGGGAGGAGGAGGCGGAGGAGGAGGAGGAGGAGGAGGAGGAGGAGGCGGAGGAGGAGGAGGAGGGGGTGGAAGAGGAGGAGGAGGAGGAGGAAGAGGAGGAGGAGGAGGAGGAAGAGGAGGAGGAGGAGGAGGAGGAGGGGCCGCCGTCCGCGTGCGAGGCGGGGGCGCGCTCCCGTCCCGGCAGCAAGCCGTGCCACAGCCGGCTCGCTTGTGTTGCGGGGGTGCGGGCGGGAGCGGGCGGGGCCCTCCGACACGCCCCGCCTGGCAAGCTGGACTCCTGCTCCTGGGGTAGGAGCTCGACCACAAGAGAGACCTTCCACAAGAGAAAC